TCGGTCTGATTTTAATTTTAAAAATATAAAATTGTAAATTCATAATTTGATTCCAGTTTGAAGTCAACCATTTTGTTATATTATTTATATAATTAATTTAGTACATTATTGTGTGTTTTGGTATTTTTATATATTAAAATTTTAAAAATATATATATGATAAATATATTAATAGTAAATTTTTTATTTGTAAAAGTTTTTTAATATTAATATTATTTTTAACCGTTCTCTATCAACTACTATGTCATTAACTAGATAAGTAATTTATTTTTAGTAATTTATTAATATTAATTAATTGAAACATAAATGGGGTCAAGATTATCATGACTAAATAATAACTAATATAACTGAGTATTCTATATCAAGGAGACCCCTAAACTCTATCCTTAAGGCCCAGTTTGGTGGAATGGTAGTGGGAGGAAAAGAAAGATAATGAAGGGTGAATAAAAAATTGTGTTTGGTAAAATAAAAATAAATAAATAAATAAATAAAGAGGATGGTTTTGGAAAGATAAGGTAGGCTTAAATAGTAACTTTTGATTTCCTTCTAAAAGTGAAGGAAAGTAGAGGGGAGGCTAATGTTGTCTTTTTAATACCAATTTTACCCTTAAGACAAAAACAAAATTATATTTAGATCTTAGGGTATGTGTTTACTCATATAGTTATTGTCAAATAAAAAGGTATAATAGTAAATTTATTAAAGTAGTTTTCTTTTCTTTCTTTTTCTTTTATTTCTTTTCCTTTGTAAGTAATGTTATCTTTTTTTTTTCTTTTCTTTTATTTCTTTTCCTTTGTAAGTAATGTTATCTTTTCTTTTCTTATCTTTTTTTTTTTTTCTTGTACCAAACATATATCAATTATGCTTCTAAACTTTATCAACTGCTAATTAAACATTATAATATTAATTCAGAAAAGAATCACATAATCACATACTTAATCCACCTTGGAATAATTTAATTACAAAATTACAGATGCGCATATATATACCTCATTTCCCTTGTTGTTATTATTATTATTATTTTCAAAATGACTCATATCTCTTATTAATATATATTAATTGTGACAATACATTAATGATTCCTTACTCCGATATGATAGGATAAAATTAAATAACACCAAAAGTGTTTTGTGAACATTCTATACTTGGTTGAGCTTTTTGCCTTCCAAAAAATAATTAAAAATTACAAATTTTACATGTATAAAGTTTAATTCAAGGTATATTTCATTACTTCTTTTATGCTTACGTTTATTTTCTCTATGCTATTTTTTATTCGAGCATTTGTTCCTCTTTTTACCCTCTCCGTGAAATCACGATGAGTCAGTCTCTGTGTCTTCCTCCCTCATTAATTGCACATATTTCTTGACCACCTTTTTTCCCTAACCAGTCATAACCAAGTCATTGACAGCACCATACGATTGTTGAAATAAGACATTTCTCAATAATTTCTTCCTTTTGGATGACTCACCAGGTTCAAATAGCCGACTATTATCTCACATTTTTTTCTCCTAGAATATATTAAGGTGGTATCTCACGAATATTGAGAACTTTAGTGCATGCGTACACAACCACCGCATAGACTCAAACAAACAACTTACAGCAAAACACAAACAACATTGAAATTAGATGAACCAAACTCTATAAGGCTTACCATAACCTTCAGCAAACACACGACTAGTGTAAAGTGTACCAAGATTGCATGTTTTAATACAATTGATTTTATGTGCTTAACTAAGACTAACGTTATGTTTGGTTGAAGGGATGGATGAAAGAAGGGATAAACTAATTTTTTTATATTTGGTTGGAGAAAAAGAAAAAGAGGGAAAAAACAAGGAGGGATGCTTCATCCCTTCTTCCTTTTTATTTTATTTTATAGAAAAAGAAGTAATAACACGCGTCAAGTGTAAAGTATACTAAGATTGCATGTGTTTTAATACAATTGATTTTATATATTTACCCAAGACTAATGCTATGTTTGGTTGAAGGGATGGATGAGAGGAAGGATAAACTAATTTTTTTATATTTGATTGGAGGGAAGGAAAAAGAGGGAGGAAGCAAGGAGGGGTGCTTCATCGCTTCTTCCTTTGTATTTTTCTATAGAAAAAGAAGTAATAACTAACACAAATATAAATTTTTCATTTCTAACCTTCCTAAAACTTTGGGATAAATATAGAATTTTTAAAATTTTAAATTATAAGGGCATATTAGTAAAAAATATATAAAAAAAACCTATTTCCCTTCCTTTCAACCAAACAAAAAAATTATATATTACACCATCCATCCTTTTTATTATCCAATCCATTCAACCAAATAAAAAATAGGAATGCCTCACATAAGATTAACTATGTAGCATAAAGGGTTGTGTCAAGATTATAAATTATAATTGCTTATGCCCAACCGCATGTGTATAAATAGTTGTAGTTTATATTTTTCCTTCAGTTATCTATTTATGTCTAACCATAGACAATAATACTTAATTAAATCTAAGCCCAACAGGAAAGACCATCCATGAGTTTACATGAAATTATCATCTATTAAATTTGTGAAAATTAATTAGAAATTCTACAAATTTACAATTGAAAATATATATTATCATGACTAGTGTTGGAATCAACGCCTTGATATTTATTTTGTTGGAGGACATCATAAGGTTTTCTATGGTGTTTCTCCCCTCGTTACTTTAAAATTTTAGGCATGAATAAGTGGGAAATGTTTGTTCCTCACAAGTCCGACTAAGATGTTGTCTGGCTTCAAGTCTCCGAATAAGATGTATTGATCAACCTTCCCTATTGGTTATCCTTTTTTCTTACCTAGCCATCTGTCTTCTAAACTACCGCCAGGCATGGATTCATACACAAGGTACAACCCGTTGCCTCTTCGCAAAATCCAATTAGTTTTGTTATGTTGGGATGTTGCAATAAAGGCTGAAATAGATTGGCTCAACAACATCCCAGCATAACACTCAACAACATCTCAAACTCATTGGATTTTGCGAAGAGCCAACAAAGTTGTACCTTGTATATGAATTCATGCCAGGCGGCAGTTTAGAAGACAGACGGCTAGGTAATAAAATGATAAACAATAGGGAAGGGTGATCAACAACCGTCTGTGTCTCTAATATTTGTTTAATTTGTGCAGGGTTGGATTGAGCGGGCATCCTTAAGGTCCTAAAAGGAGTAGCCCGTGGGCTGAGGAACAAACATTTCCCTCTCTTATTCATGCCTAAATTATTAAAGTAATGCGGGGAGGAAAGAGGAACATCATAGAAGAAAACCTTATAATGTCCTCCAACAAAATGTTGTCCATGGCTTCTCCCCATATGCAAGGTTGTGGTTGGGTCTGGGAGCATCCTCATTCAACTTGTTTCATACACACTGAAAAACTAATCTACTTTTCTTGCAGCACTCCATTAGGGGGGACTTTCTTTGTGACTTTGTGATATGGTTCTTCACCTGTTCTAACTCCTCCTCTCTTAGAATCATTGTTTTCTTCACAAAACTTTTTTGATACTTGCTGCTTACAATACTTTTGCCTGTCTGTCGAAATCATTCAACTCTAAGCTCCTTCACATCACCACCTTCTTGAATTCTCTCATCTCATTTGTAATCACAACCCTTTTAAGACTTGCCATCACTGCATGCACTCTGAAGTCTGCTCTGGACCTAGTGGAACGAGAGGGCAAACTAGATAAATACGCCATAATAGAATGCTTATAAGCATATATAGTGGACCAAAATCAGAAAGATCAAGCCAGAACAAATAAACGAGTTTGAAATAACACAAAATTCTATAGAGTTTTTAGAGGGACAAAATAAATTTAAAACTTCATCGAATTTTATGTTGGCCTATTATTCTTCTAAGATCCTTGCTTCAATGACCAGGATGGTGAGCCCAAGATTAGCGACTTTGGTGCTCTAACAAGTGTGGATGAGGACATTAAAATATTTACCCCTGGATATGCAGCTCCTAGGATGGGAGAAGGCGGTAATATATCTTTCCTTTTAGCTTCAGTGTGAATAATATATTCAATTTAGTACATTTTATATATTCAAGATTCCTTTCAACTTCCACATTGTTACTGTTATTGTAGACATGGAAATCATAGTTTTGACCAATTGAGAAGTGACAAGGGCCAAAGTCGTTCGTTAACCGCACATAGTCATAGCTACTCAATTGGTTTTTGATATAGAATGTTGTGTGTGAGATCCAACCTCAAAATAACATCATTCTCAGAAATATTAATGATTGGAAAGGGGGTGATATTAAGGTTTACCATCTATGTTTATGGGAAACAAAACCATTAAAGGCGTTTACAAATGGCTTATTGTTAAAGATTTATCTAACATTCCCCGTCTGAAGATCACACACTGGAAAATTGACGATGAATGAACCTCGACACATCTTGATTTCTTGATCTGCCATGACAAGGTATTATACTAGGATATCGCAAGGATGATGGCGACTAAAGTTTAGATGAGGTTGATACATTCATGGGTAAGAATTAAAATATAAATTTCCATTATAAAGATCTTAGTTTAACCTATTTTGTTTTTTATTGGGTCTAAAATGTTTTGAAAAGGTTTACTTGAATAACTGGCTTTTGTCAATAGTGGATTGTACGTTTGCCGGACTAGGTCCTGTGATTTTTAAGCCCAAGGGGTTCCTGTGCTCTTGGGTTCTAGAGTGCAATAATTTTATTTGACCATTCACACAAATTATATCAAGAGTTTATTTTGAGGAGCCCAAAATAAATAAATAAATAAAAATAATAATATTAATAATAACATTTTTTTTTAGTAAACATACTAATCTAAATTATAGTTGCCCAATTATATTTCCAAGAAAGTAAGAACCAACACAAAACTACTACAAATAAACAACATTAACATCCCCTTTAGGCTTATTAGATCATGAATAACAATTAAAATGCTTCTGATGTCCATTTCTTCCTCAGAACTAAAATGCTGCCGATGTAATTGCAAAAAAGAGTGAGGATCTATTGAATCAATAACTGGTCTTGAAGGGCTTGTAAACCTTGAGGTCTTCAAAAAGACCAGCAAAGGAACCAACGGCAGCAGCAATGGAAACAATGAGGCAAACAACACTTAAGATTTGGAGGGAAAGCCATCTAGTGCTCCACTTAGGTATCTTCTTATGCACTATGTACATCTCCACCGGGAAATAAACCGTGAGAGGCCAAAACCCGAAAGCGCCAAGAATTCCAACTACGTCGTTAAAGAATGGCATGAGCATTGATATGACAGTGGAGATGATCACAAAGATGGTTCGCCATACCAACCGGAAGAGATTGAGCTTGAAGGGCTTGAACCCCGGAATTGGGACATCGATTTCTTTGTTGATGAATTTACTTTGAGGAAATACTTCTGATGCTGTTCTTTCAATGAAGGCGAAAAGGGGTTGAGTGTAAACTTGGTATGCCCCAATAAGGTGTATCACTACAGAAGCATTGGCTATGTCGAGAAGCCAATAGGGGTTTCGGAAGCCAAAATCGGTGAGGAGGTTTCCCGGGGCATGGTCTCCGAATGCTGCATAACCCATGCAGCCACAGAGCAGGTAGAAGATGGTTGTTACCGTGACACTTACCAAAGAGGCCTTTTTCATTGTTTTGGCCTCTGATGGTGGTGATTTGATTGTGTCCTGTTTACATGTACAAACCATATAAGCAACTAAACAAGTCAAAATTGGTTTAAGAAGTACATTACTAGGAAATGAAACAATGTTGTATTTGATGTTCAACATAGGAATGTACCTGAATTTCAATAAGGATTAGAGAGTAAGAATAAGCAAATGCTATGTTGCCAAGAGCTTGGAAGCTCCTCCAGACTTTTTGGGGTCGAGTCACTGTGCCAATGCTTACTCCACTTAGGCTTCCCTTGAATTTCCCATTCTCTGAAAATGCTAAGGTCAAATTTCTATACATACATATTATATACACAGTTACACACGACAAACCAGAACCAGAAGCTATTTTTTTTTTACCTGCTAGTTTGGCTATTCCAAGTGAGAGGCCTATTGCGGAGTAAGTACAGGACATGATTGCAGCAACTATTGAAAGCCACCATATCTGAGCGAAGTCTGGAATTTGAGAGACAAATATCTCTATGATGCCAAAAATGATCATATATGGATTGCTTGATATTTTGCAAGGATCTTTCCCGCCACTTTTTTGGAAGCAGTTGGATCGTCTAATTGCCCTGTTTGATTAAAAAACATTAGACCAAAAACCCTAAACACCAATTCAAAAAAAAAAAAAACCTGTTCTTGAATTCAAAATTTCATACTCACATCATGCTTATACAAGCTGTGATAGTGTACCCAATGGCCGCCCCAGAAAGGTTCAGGTACTGAATTACACCACAAAACTTGAACTTAACACCACCTTAATTTTTTTTTAACAAACACATAGCTTAGGTTAGTTTTTGAACTTTTGAAAAGAACACAAATTTGTCCCAAATATTGGAATCAGAATCATCTATCTCCTACGTTTTTTTATCGACAATGCAATACTTTTAAATTATTAATGCAATTACTTTAAATCTAAAATACGTATACAACATTGTTGGTGTATTGCATAACCGATTTAACAGTGATGAGACAATGAAATATGGCGAGACAGAGAGGATTGGGATCCCAAATTTTGAGAGAGAGGGGGAGGAGTGTGAGAAACTTACCAAGGTTGGATTGAACCGCCTCCATGTAAGTATAATTTCTCTCGCCGGCCACCGGATCGCCTGAACGGTAACACGAGGTCAACAGAACAGAGGTGTAGTAAGTGACAAAGGAGAACATCAACATCACAACTGGACCAGCAATCCATCCAAGCTGAGCGATAGCCCAAGACAGGGACAGAACTCCAGACCCAATCACAGCTGTTATTATGTGAGCACTTGCCGTCCAAAACGTCCCTAACCCGAATACAAACCCATAACAAAACAGATTTAGTTGCCGGTGAAAAATAACAGCATGCTACAACAGAGAATCGACATGCCTATAATAGTGAAGCAGGGATTTACCAGTTCGTTTGGGACGGCCATCTTCGTCCAAACATTTGGAGTCGCTCTGTAGAGGAAAGTTGACGGAGATATCAAAACTTTGGTGGTGTGGATAGTTATGGTTATTCTCAGTACTGTTTTCATCCATCTTTCTATGAGAATGAGAATAAATCAACAATTGCTAGTGAAGGGGGTGGCTTGAAGATGTGTGTGATATTTTCTCATTACTGTGAGAGAGTTGGGAAGAGATTTTAAATACATTTAACTGTTACATGAAAAGATTTCTTCTATATGAATTATGAATACATTTTCTCTCTGGAGTCCCACAATGTTCACCAATCTATTATCCTCTTTTTCGTCGTTCCACTCACTGCGAGTAAGGTTTTCATCAACGCTAATGAACGGACATTGAATGAATTTTTTTATTGATAAATATTCTCTTGATCCACATTTAAGTGAGATTGACAGAAACGTGAAGGGTGACAATACAATTTAGCCATTATATAGTACTTGACGGTGGACAAGCTAATTAATCAAAAATTCGCACCAAAAACAATAGCCAGTGATTTGAGCACCAACTATAACTTTTATTGATAAAACTATACGCAATTATAGTACTTCACAAGGCAATGAAACAAAAAATCTCACCAAAATTTACTTATTTTCTATATATACTCTCACCATTCTATAATAGAAGTCCATATTTAAAAATTAGAGTTTTTAAGGGAACATGCAATTAATGCATTGTCCCCTCATCAAATTACTAAATTGTCTTTTTTAATTTAAATATATATAGTTATAAAGTTTAAATTTTTTTAAAAACATAAAAAATAATGATGAAAATTTAATAAAAAGATGCTTTGACTTTTCAAAGAGGACAATTAATTTTGGACATGTAAAAAGAAAAAAATGAACTACAATATGGGACGGATGGAGTATATTTTTATATATATGTACATATATTTTTGAAATGTGTTAAAATGCCCAAAATTTCTCCATCCCTTATATATTATATATGTTTTGCTTAACTTTTTTTTTTAAAAAAAAAATTATTTCATTATATTCTATGCATGTCATATAATTTATATGAATAAGTATTTAGTATACAATATAGCCGGCTTTTTTTTTACTTTTTTTTTTTTTTTTTTTGACTTACCCATATATGATTTGAAACTCTGACCTTTAATTGAAATATGCCACAACATAAAGTGACTAAAAGACAGCTTTTGGAAACTTCGAGAGGGAAAGAAAAAGGAAATAAAAGACAGCTTTTGGAAACCTAGTTTGACTTTTTTTTTTTTTTTTTTGGCCTAATATGCCCCCAATCAAATTCATGTCCCCGCCCTAATTGGACTTATTGATTATTCAAAATAATTTTGTGCAAATTTATTAAATTGTCAAATTCGCTTACTAAAATTAAATCATTTTAAGTGTCTAAATTAAGTGAATGGGTTAAAAATAAGTAAAAAGTGGATAGACATTCAATTCAAAGATCAATAGTGAGTACTGGTCTTAATCTGTTACAAAAAGAGAAAAAAACAATTGTAAAGCTTTAAATAAAAAAATTAATGTAAAAATATATATATTTTTGGTTTTTTAAAGATCATAATAGTAATAATACAATTGGAAGTGTAGCTGTTATAATACTATATATATTAATATTTTTTTATTTCTATCTCTCTCTATTCTTGTCTATCTCTCTTCCCTTTTTATTGCTTCTTCCTTGTTTTTTCTGTCTACTCTTATTCTCTCTTCCTTTTTTCTGGATGTGATAACTCTCAAAGTAAGTTGTATAGTGATTTTTTTTCAAAAATAAAAAATAAATAAAAGGAAAAAAAATTGTAACGATCAAAAAATTAATAAACTTAATATAAAAACATTTTTTTTTTTTTTGTTATTCAACAATTCAAATAAATTGACAATTTGTATCTAAAAATATTTGAATAATTGGATTGGGTGTGTGTTAATTAGCCCATTTAATATTTAATGATTTTATGATTCATAAAAAATGAGTTGATAATGGGTTGTTGACTCATTATTGAATCGCCTATTTATGATCAACTCAAACCACACCCAAACTCACCAATTGCTCTCCTAATTTTAAGACATTATTTATGTTTTAAAAATCTGTTGAAATATAGATAAATCTCTTGAAAATTTGAAATACGATTTAAGCAAGCTAAAAATCTTTACAGCACATAATGCAGATGATCTGAACTTGTGAAAGGGTCCATTCTCATATAAAAAAAGCATGGATCACGAGAGTGTTTTACCCCTGGGTTACCTGATCTCTGGTTCAGTAGTTTTAAGTACGTATTGTCAAAACCCAATTGGCCAGTAAAAAAAAGTTAAGGTTTGGGATAAGGCCATGCATATGAAAGTTTGTCTATTTTTAAACAATCACACCACCTTGTAAAATTTACCATCCAAACAGAACCTTAAAACATATAAAAAGTTCATTTTACCCTTCACCATTTTACTAATATTAATTATAAAATAGGGTTAAGTGCAAAAAAACTCCCCTAAACTATTGTCATTTTGCAAATAACTCTCATGAACTAAAAACGTCCTCCTGAACTATTGATTTGTTGCAATTAAGGTCAAATCTATCACAAAAGACTATTTTACCATTTCTCATTAAAATTTTCATTTCTTACTAAATTATTTTTATTATCTTTTCTCTTATGTAAATATTAATTATACTATTTACCTTAATTTTATTATAGTACCAATTTATCATAAAAATGAAAAATAAAATAAAAAATAAATATATAAGATTTGTAATTACTAGTTTCTAAATTGAACGTATTATTAAAACTCTATTATTTCTAATAAAACTTATTATAACCAATTTAAACATTTTTATCATAAAAAAAATATCTTATTTTTCGTACAATATATTGATGAAAAATTAATGAAATACTTTTAAAAAAAAATGCATTCTTTTCATGTAATATATTCATTAAAAATGTAAAAATTAATTAATTTTTTTAAAAAATTTCTACTAAATATTTTTATTTAAATTGTTAATTTCAAAATTTGAAAGTTAAGTTATACAAATTTAATGGAGAATACGTCATCTGTAATACCTCTAATTTTAAAAATGATAGTCTCGGTATTTATTTAATTGTTTTAATTGCATTTTAATTATTTATTTGATTATGTGGCTATTTGTTTGCGTGTTTTAATTGAATTAATTGTTTTAATGTAATTTGTTTTTGATATTCTCGAGTATTCGGGCGTGAGCCTACCAACCCGCATTCGAAAATCTAGGGGTATCATAGTTAGTATCAAGCACTCCAGGTTTAAGTGTCCTTAGGAGTGTCTTTCGTTATATGACTTTCGTGTTACGTCTATTAAAACTTAGAGCCCATATTAGGATTCGTTATACTTTATTTACGGTTCGTTAGGAGGAGCTGATGTCAATTATATTCTGTAGTCACAGAATGGTTAGCACTAGGAAGAGGATGGGGTCCAAGGCAGAAGCGATAAAGACCTAAAGAAGTAAAGGCGTACATTATCGATTTCGTTGGCAGAATTAGGAATCGAATGTTTAGTTATGGTTGGCGCTACTTTAAAGTATAAGCCAATGAAGAATTTAAGTGTGTGTTTTAGGTCACGCATATTGAGACCAACATGACTTCAATTTTTCTCATAAGGGAGAAAAGCGAGGAAGATGAGGAGCCCAAAAAGGATCCTAATGAAGAAGATTTCAGAATATCCAAGGAAGAGGGTACTAAATTTTGAAGATGAGAGATCGTGCGAGGGTGATCTTATTTGCTGTTAGAATAACAAATGATATTAGTAGAATTGGTGTGGATCAATCTACTTATAGTTAACTTTTTTTATCATCTCTAAGAGAAATATGTAAGGAGTACTCTTCAGGAGTTTGGGAATCAGATGGAGTTCTTATCAAAACGAAATGTATGATTTTATATCACACTCAGAAGAGCATTGAAATTATGTTGTGTCGTTCTATTTGCTTTATAAAGCCACGGTAGACAGTTTACATTCCTTGTATAAGGAGGATGAGGGTTAAGCCCTTGGTATTTGCTTAGGCAAATATATGTTACTTTTAAGCTATGTTTTAAAGATTATGTTTCAAGGTTGGATGATTACCTAAGAAACTATAAAAGAAAGTTATGTGAAACAATCTTGTAAAGTTGGTTTTAGAGGAGATTTTCTTTAAAAAGAAGGATATCTTAAGTAGGAGTATATTTTGTGGTACTGTGTTTATCTTACGTATTTATTTTTGTTAACTTTTCTAGATTATGGTATGTGGTTTAGTTAGGGACACAAGCATATGATCAGCCAACTACTGTTGTGAGCATGTGGTTATAGGATTTGGTAGATATACATAATTCTAGCCAATCCATTGGACTTTGACATGCGTCATTAAGGTATGTTATGTGGGATGGAATAGTTAAACCATCACTACAAGTCAAATAATTTTATACGATTAGTTTGATATAGTTAATGGTAGGTCTGGATATGTATCTAATTATAATGCCATGATAATGATAGTTGTTAATGTTTCAGTATATGTGATACCCCTCGGATCCGAGACTCGGGTTGATCAGGCCCAAGCCCAAACTCGAGGGAAATATCAAATAATTAATATTTAAATGAACACGGAATACAAAAATGGAATAAAGAATAAATAAATAAATAAGAGCTGAAAGAATCTCTAAAATATAATCCTTTAAAAATAAATACTTAAAAATCCATTAATCCAAAACCTCAAATAATTAAACAACTCGGGAATCCATCTCTAGTGGACCCCTAATAAAAATCCAAACCGATATGTAAATAACTGAAAGAACATCCAAAACTAAACCACGGAAAGAAGTCCTACATCATCGGAAGAGTGAGTGATAGTCTCTGCTCAGCACAATCAAGCCTATGACTGGAACTGTCGAACACCTGAAAAATAGAAGTGGGTCAGGCCCACAAACAAGTTCTATCCTACTACAATCCGAACAGAGACTCAATACGTATGTACATCTTAAACAACTCAACAATAGCTATGTAGTCCGTACATATATATATCCACACTACTGGATTCTCACTGGACTATGAAGAGGGTCTCAACCTGAACAGAAGGCAACATGCAAAACGCACCTGAGTGGGCATGATTACCTAAGCCTA